AAGCTACTTAGTGAATTCAAAGCAAATATAGCTAAAAAGATGCTGATCCTAATGAAATAAATGACCAGTACATTTAGATAAGATACTAATAAAAAATAAAGACCTAAAGAGAAGCAAACCATGAGTTATCAGCACAGAAAAGAAAAGCATTTTTAAAATTTCAAACGAATCCAGATTACTGAAAGCATGTGTAGTACGTGTGACTATTGTCAAGAGGAAGTGTTAGATCTAGAAGACAGGGCTGTGGTTGATTATTGATGAGACAAACCTTAAAAACAAAAAAACAGAACATAAAAAACTGATCTAATAATAGTGTTACATGATACAAAGAAGAGTAATCCAAGATTAGCTGTCCAAGAAGAGAGCAAAAAGGTCATAAAAAAGCTACACAGAAGCAGAAAACTTGCAAACCATGGAAAAAGGATTTAGCATTCAGATAAATGATGCCTGCTGAAACCAAATAGCCATGACCAGAAAAGAACCAACCCAAGACACATAATAGGTGGAATAAAAACTTCAATAGAACTACATAATGTTAAAACCGTTAGAGAAAAGCAATGAATCACTTAGAAAAAAAAGATAACCCATCAAAATTACAACAAATTTCTCAAGAAAAACCTTAAAGGCAAGGAAACGTGGAAGTGAAGTTTTAAATCTTAAATAAAAACAACTTTCAACTCAGACTGATAAACAGTATGCTACAAAATTACCTTTCCAGAATGACAGAAAAATAAAGATATTTCTATAACAAAGAAATCATACCCCCAAGTCAACAAAACTCCGAAATTCTCAAGGACATCTCAGAAGGAGATAATGAAGCTAACACTTCCAAAAGACCCAACAGAATGATTCCCCAGGCAGAGCACCCAATTAAATAGAAAGGAAACAAATAGATTCAGCAACAAGAAAATAATACAATGACAGGAATAAGTCAATACCTACCTGTTATAACCATCAATATTGAAGGGTCTCAATTCACCAATTGAAAGACACAGATCAGCAGAATGGATCAAGAAACAAGATTCAACAATATCTGGCATACAAAAAACATACTTAATCCCAAAAGAAATTCACAGACTAAAAATCAAAGGAATAACAACTATACTCAATGCAACATCAACAGTTGCATAGCTTGGGGGTGAGTCCCCCACTCCTACATCTTACTGTAAAAAGGAACATTATATTGTAACAATTTACTCCATAGTCTGCAAACTGAAGGACCATCCTGAGCAGTGGGAACTCTAGCTATAGCACTAAACAGCAACCGCATAAACAAGGAGTAGCAGCTATCCTATTTTCCAACAAAGCGAATTTTTAACTCACTCATACAAGGCCATAATTTGTATGTCTCACAGCCCAGTAGCTCCAATTTGAATCTGATTGCTCACATCAGCTTGAACTGTAAGTTACATGTATGACTGTACCATCAGGTGGCTTGTACTGCTTTCTCAGGGGGGGTCACTGATTACAATAATGCAAACAAAGTCAACAATTTAGCAGTATAGATATCGCCATATTATAGTTCCTTAAGGAAAATATTACGCTGGTATAAAAATTATAGTAGAGCTTCAGTGTGGTATAGCAGTTATAAATGCATATCATATACATTAACAATGAGGTATTTGTAAAGTTTCCAACTTACAACTTATAGAATTAATTACTGGTACACTGTTCATGAATGTAAATGCTTTAATGAAATAAATTTGATCACTATAAAAATTTTAACTGGTATGAGTACTATTTAATATTTTTTATTTAGGTAGTAATTATTCAAATTCAAGTAACTAGATTCAGCTCACTTACAGACTTTTTATTAATTTTATTAGTAATAAAGATGGGTAAAATTGATTAAATCTGTTTGCACCAGCAGCAGCACCACTGATAGTTCAAGTCAGTGAAAATATATTAAGACAAAGCAAAGATCACTACGTATTAACACGTTCAAGATGGGGCTATAAGTTCTCTCTTGCTGCCAGGTGGCTCTGATTTAATTTTATTACTGAAACGTTGAAAAAGTGATGAGACCCATTCCTGCTACCATTGGTACAAGACACTTGAAGGGACAGTCACACATATATCACCAAAGTTTAAGACAATGCAAACATATTAAGGGAATCATTCAACAGGAAGAGATAACTATATGTATATGAATCAAACAATGCACTCAACTTCATAAACCTGTGTGCCAGTAAAATAGAGCACTCAGAGGAAAGAACAGATTTCTAGATATACACAAATTACCAAAACTGAACAATACTACAGGTCATGACTAATCAATAACAGGCAATGAAACTGAAACAGTAACAATAATGATAATAGGGTTAGAGACTTAGCTCAGAGGTGTAAGTGCCTGCCTGTCAAGTGCAAGATGATGAGTTCAATCCCTGGTACAAATAAATAAATAAACAAATAAAATAAAAAAAATAAATAATAGAAATAATAATAATAACAGTAACGATGATGATAATAAAAAATCCTACTAAGGAAATCCTGGTCTGATGGATTAACTGCTAAGTTCCACAAGAACTTCAGGGAAGACCTAAAGATAATATTCCTGAAACTCGTTAATAAAATTAAAAGGAAAAACATTCCAAGTCTTTTCTAAGAGCTGGCATTACCCTGATTCCAAAACCACACAAGGAGCCCACCAAAAAAGAGAACTGGTCAATCTCTTTAACGAATATAAAAACAGAAATTTTCTACAAGATGCTGGCAAACAGAATGGAAAAATCACCAAAAAGATCATATACCATGATGAATTAGACTTCATCTCAGGGATGCAAGAGTAGCTCAACATATGCACATTAATAAATATAATCTACCACATAAATAGAATAAAAATCAGATGATCATTTCAATAGATGCAGAGAAAGTCTCTGACAAAATCCAACATCCATTCAGAATTAAAACCCTGAAGAAAATATACAAAAGCAATGTGGCACGATCTGATAAAAGCCACTATGACAAAATTGCTGCCAACAAAATATTAAATGGAGAAACACTAAAAGTTTTCCTTCTAAAGTCAGGAACACAAAGATACCATAATCAACACTCCTGTTTAATGTAGTCCTTGAGACAACAGCCAGAGCAATTGGTAAAAAGAAAGAAATAAAAGAGACATGAATAGGAAATGAAGAAGTCATTATCATTTGCAGAGAAAATGATTCTTTACTTACAAGACTAAAAAAAATTATACCAAAATACTCATAGAATTATGAGACAAAGTCAGCAATGTAGCAAGATATAAGATCAATACACAAATATCAACAGCATTTCTGTATATCAATAATAAACTAACCAATAATGAAATTACGAAAACAATGCTATTCACAACAGCATCAGGAAAACTTAAATACTTAATTATTCTCATGAAGGAATCAAAGACCTTTACAACACAAATTTTATCATTTTGAAAAAGCGGACTGAAAAAGACATCAGAAAATGGAAAGATGTTCCATGTTTCTGGATAAGGAGAACCAATATAGTCAAAATAGCAGTGTTTTCAAAACTGATATACAGATTTAATGAAATTCTAATCGAAATAGCACCAGCACACTTCACAGATTGAGAAAACAATCCAAACAGTCACCTGGAATCAAAAAGACCTATAAAAGCAACAGCAACCTTAAGTAAGAAGAGCAAAGAAAGAAGGATCAACCTGATTTCAAGTTTATTTGATCTTTGACAAATGGGCCAAAATATGCACTGGAGGACAGAGAAGATCTTTAATAAATGGTGCGGGGAAAACTGGATATCCGTGTGCAAAAGACAGTTCAGACCTATATACCTCATGTGCTACGATAGAAACAAAATGGATGAAAGAGTTCAACGTTAGAAATACTTAAGCTGCTGAAAGATAAGAGGTAAAACTGTTGAAGACACAGAAAAGCAAGGATTTCCTGAACAGAACCCCGGTGGCACTAGAAATAAAACATCTCGTCTGACACAATGGAATTGTATTAATTTTAAAATCTTCTGCACAGCAAAGGAAACAACTAAACGAGACAACCTACAGGATGGGGAAAAAAGATGAAACAGAAAAAACTCTTTAAAAAACATACATGTAGACAAGGACTTTCTGAACAAAATTCCAGGAATCAACAAATGGAATCATATCAAATTTAACAACTTCTACACAGCAAAGGAAACATTTCACATATGAACAGACAACTTAATAGAATAAGAAACAGTTTTTCCCAGCTATCTCTTACACAAAGGACTAATATTTAGAATAAAGAACTCAAAATAGCTAAATTCTCCAAATAAAAGATTCAATAAAAAACAGGCCAGTGGAAATAAATCATAACACTTCTCAGAAGTATAGATGTCCAAGAATACCTGAAAAAAATGTTTACCATCACTGGCCATTAGAGAAATGCAACTGAAACAACACTTGAGATTCTATTTTATTCCAGAAAGAATGGCCATCATCAAACAATCACATAACAACAAATGCTTGCCAGGTTGTGGGAAAAGAAACCCTCCTATATTATTCATGGGAATGTGAACTAGTTCAACTACTATGAAAATCAGTATGGAGAGTCTTTGAAAAAAAAAAAAAAAAAAAAAAAAAACCCGAAACTACAAATTCCACTAGATCCATCTATTCCCCTTGCAGACATTTTCCTGAGTTAAATCAACTATACACAAACATAAAATAAAAACAAATTTTAAAAAAGTGAAACTCATCATGTTGAATTACAGTGAAACTCAAGAGCATAATTTATAGCTGAATCTTAGAAACAGCTTGTATGTTCATCAACAGATGAATGGATAATGTATTTATGCACAATGCAGTATTACTCAAGCACAAAAAAGAATAAACTTGATGACACAAAACTGAATTAAGGGAATGAAAGCAAGTAATTTCAGAATAACTAAAGACATAAATCAATCAATCAAAAACATCAACTAAATCTTATTTAAACTGGTAATAAGCAAAAAAAAAAATTTTTTTTACCCACAAAGATACTTCCAAAAAATAATTACAAAATGATTACCTGAGTCATTTCGTAGGTAGGATGACATGGCTGGGATAAGGCAGGACTGACTGAGAAGCTCAAGAAGGACGGCAGGCAGAGCACTGCTGTTCTGCCCTCTGCTTTCAGGAGGTGGCTGAACTTCTCCATTTATTGTGCCACTCACAGGATTTATGTAACTTGCAAGAACCTAAAAATTACAATTCCTGAAATTAAAATAGGTTTTTAGCTTTACTCTATAAACACTTTTTTTTTTTTTTGGGTCTTTTTGAGACAGGGTCTCACTATGTAGAGTTCAGGCTGGCATTATGCTCACTTCACTGCCCAGGTTAGTCTCGAACATGCAATGATTCTCCTGCCTCAGCATCCTGAGTGCTGGAATTACAGGCGTGCACCACCATGCCCAGCTTAAAGACCTATATTTTATGTCAGACATTCAAACTGAATAGCCAAGAGTGTATCTTTTCCACTCAATGCCTCAAATTCTATGTTTTCAAAATGAGACATCTTCTGTTTAAACTTTTCAAGTAAATCAGAAACCGTGGTGCATGCCTGTACTTTCAGCACTCAGCAGGCTGAGGCAGGAGGATCACTGCTAGTTCAAGATCAGCCTGGATTATGCAGTGAGTTCAAGGTCAACCTGCACTATATAGCAAAACCCTGTCCTAAAAAAAGACAGAAAAAGAAGCCAAGGGCTAGGCATTTAGTTCAACTGCGTAAGTGCTCACCTCGCAAGCACAAAGTTGTGAGTTTGATCCATGGTTACTGCCTCCTCCCCCTCAAAAGAAGGCAAATAAGATCTGTTGTGCTGGAGAATGCTGGTTACAAAGAACAGCATATCATTTAGGGCTACATACAGAGAAGCAATCCAACCTTATGGAGATGAACTTTAAAACTTAGCAGATCTGATACTGTTCATACTATTTTATTGAATAAATTCAGTTCGTTATTTGAAGGTGTTAAATTTTAGAACTTTATACTCAAATGAGCGTATCATTGCAAAAACCAACACTCAAAGAACTGATCAACTTTTGATTAGCTGATGCATAAACTAATGCCAATCTTTTCTTTAAATACCCCTCCTAATTTCTGTGGTACAAGACTTTTCTTACTATTTCAACTTGCTTGATGCTTGAAACACAAAGAAACTTAAGCAATAAATGTAAAAGGGACCTAAGCAGACAGATGAGTGGTACAACATGTGTATATATCATGTGTGAGGTCCTGAGTGTAGTATCTAGCAGCCCCCCAAAAATCTAACCATAGTATTTTTTAATACAAGAGCCTAAGTACAACAAATTAAGATGAAGAGGTGATTTAGAAGAAGGTATATGGCACAGTCTTCTGCTAGAGGATACTTTTATCTTGTTGTCACATTACTGTCAGTGAAGGGGAAAGAAATTCAGGATTATAACTGGGGAAGAGTGATCTTTGTTCTGTGGCATTTTAGAATGAATTAGGAGCATAAAAGCAGTAAAAGATGACTTAGAAAAGTCATCAAAAATTGAAATCAGGACAAACACAAAAAATTTATTATCACTGACAGATGAATTTTAAGCTATACCTGCAGAAGACAGGTAACGTGTTCCTCTTCCAGCCTCTGTTTAGTTAAGGCTTGTTCCACATCCCACCCAGAAGCTGTAGAGCCTGTTCCAAAGCCAGTCCCTTTGGCCCAATACAGCTGCTGTTCTTCTGTTGATGTAGGGTTTTGAGAGCTTGATACCTGTGGCTTATAGCATGAAATATAAACAGTTATTACTATTTGGTGTTTTCTTTAAAAATATTCATTTTTAAAACTGTAAAAGTTCACCAGCTATAGACAAGTTTGGCAGAAGACTGAATAATTATGCTCAGCAATTTCATCCCCAGAATACTCAAGAGAAATGAAAGCTGGCATTAAAATAAGGGACATGTATACAGCTATTACAGCAGAACTAATGACAACAATTAAAAGAGAGAAGGAACACAAATTCCAACCAATGGATAGATAGCTTGTGCCATGGAATACCGTTTGGCTATGAAAGGGGGAATACAGCAGTAATGGATGCTACATAGACAAACTTCAAAAAGCTTTCTGCTAAGTGAAAGAAGACAGAAAAGGTAACATACCAAATCATCCCCCCAAATACAAGAAATGTTAAATAAATAAAAATAAATGAAATATCGAGGGCAGGTCAACACATAGAGACAAAATACAAAATGCAAATTGGCAGTTGCTGGGGCTGAGGTAAAGGAACACAAACTGATTAAATTTAGGAAGGCATAATTTTTAAAAAATTTTAATTATCAGGAAAAGAAAACATCACTAACTGGATATAAACTAGATCCTTTTAGGAAAAATAAAGTAAAAGGCTATGTTAGAATTCTACCATTGATGCTTTCAATCACAAGAGCATGAGTACTTCTAACTGCAGAAGTAGCCATTCTTTCTTATTCAGAATGTGAAGTACATAAATATCTCAAAAGTTGAAAATGAGAATTGTTAGACCAAAAAACTGGTTTATTAATGTAAACACATATCCATAAAGATCATATAATTGTCAATTTTCATTAAATGCAAAATCACATTCTGTTAAACCACCTGCAATTAAAATTTAGTTTCCATGGAAATTCACAAGCAGTATCAATGGGATTTGTTTCTCTTACTGGAAGTATTTTCTTAGGATAAATAATATTCAGAAATACAGTTTTAAAAACTGACACAGGGGGCTGGGGATTTAGCTCAGCAGCATAAAAGCCTGCCTTGCAAGCAGGCAGTCGTGAGTTCGATCCCTGGTACTGATAAAAACGAAAAACACACACACACACACAAAAAAAAAACCAAAAAAAAAAAAAAAAACTGACACAGCTACAGTATTAAGGATACACGAGAAAGTTGATGTTTCATATTTTCAAAGAGAAGCTATTAAATATATCACAAAATTCCACTACCATGCAAGCATTTACTAGCTTAATCAATGTTACTGATAAAAACAATTATTTATTTAAAACACCAACAAGTCAAGATGGGCATATTGCCATATGCCTACAGTACCAGCATTCGGGAGGCTGAAAAGAAAAGATGAGTGAGCCGAGGAGTTTGACAACAGCCTGGGCAACCTATCTCAGCCCTATTGCCAAAAACAAAACAAAATAAAACAAAACATCTTGCAGTAACATGTAGTCTCCACATACAACAACAACAACAACAACAACAACAACAACCCACATAAAGCTCAATGATTTTATTAAACACAAAGATTATTTTATCATCCAGGGAGAGAATTAGATCACCTCATCACTGCACCAGAGGAATTCACCTCAGTCTGTGTTCTTTTCATCACACCCTCTTACCACAACACTATTTAAAAAAAAAAAAAAAAAAACTGAGTGTGGTGGTACAGTACTGTGATAGGCTGAGGCATAAGAATTAAAAATTTAAACTAGCCTGTGAAACTTAGTGAATTCTTGTCCCAAATTAAAATTAAAAATGGTTAGAGATGTAGCTCAGTGGAAAAAACCCAAGTTCAATCCCAGTGCTAGCCAAAAAAAAAAAAAAAAAAAAAAGTTTCTAAATAGGGGGGATAAGGAAAGACTGGTAAATAAAGACAGGGTTATAGTAAGGAGGAATACATTTTTGGTGGTCTTAATGCACAGCATGGTGACTACAGTTTGCAATATTGAATTGTATATGTCAGAATTCATAAAGAGAGGATTTTGAATGTTCTGACCACAAAAAAATGATGTGTTAAAGACGGTTCACTTCCTTGATTTGATAACACAAAGTATAGAGTATATCTAAACTGTACCATAATAAACAGGTACAAAAATAGTACCAATTTTTTAAAGAGTAATTTTAATATACTCAAGGTCTTTTCGAATATTTTTTTCTTTACAGAAAAGTGCTTCTAAAAATACTTATTCAAGGCCAGTCATGGTGGCCCATGCCTGTAATACGAGCACTGAGGAGGCTGAGGAAGAAGGATCGCTTCGAGTTGAGGCCAGCCTGGGTTACAAAGTGAGTTCAAGGCCAGCATGAACTGCAGAGTGAAAACCCTGTCTCAAAACCCTCCCCCACTAATAAGACAAAAACCCAAAACACTATTCAAGAAACAGCCAACTCTTAGATCATAAGTTATTCATCCTTTTTTTGACAAATATATATATTTGTCTGTTTTTATACATTGTATGCTCAGATCTATCAACCCTTTAAAGTAATTTTTGCATATAAAACACAATACAGTATGAAGATTCATTTTTGTTCCATGTAGATAAACTGAACTAACACCATATATTGGCAAGATAATACTTCATAATGTTGTGGTCATGTCATATATATAATGATGTATACGTAAAATATATATTATTATACATATAACCATGTATATGTGAGTTTGGGTGTCAACTGTTGCTAGGCTTGTATCTATCTGCTACTATACTTTCACTATAAACTTTGACGGGAATTTAAGTTTGCAAGCTATGTTGTTCTTTGAAAGTGTCTTAAGTAATCCTTGCCCTTTTGCATTCCAATACAAATTTTACAAACAAGTTTGTCAACTTCCTCCGAAAGGAATACTGATTTGCAATGAATTTATGGTCTAATCTGGGAAATATTAATGTACTATTATAATTTCTGATACACAGGAATCAAATCTAAACAAGTTTTATGTTGTTTGAACAATTTTTATTCAGTTCATTTTATAAAAAGGCCTGTTGTATTTTTTAAGATTTACCTATAAACACTTTCTATTTGTAATGGTATTCTAAGATTTTCTCCTAAAAGCTCTTTTTCTTGACTCTTCTGAGTGATGGGAAAACAAGAGTGTACCACCATGCCTAACAAAAAGACTACTTTGTGTTTCTTACTATTACATGGAAATAAACTGTATACAATGACTTTACGTATTATATTCTCAATAAACTCAGTTAAGCCATAATTACTTTTGGACTTTTTAATCATCTGGAAACAATGAAGGTTATTTCCCCCCTTTCTTGTTTTGCTTCTCTTATTACACAGGACAGAATCTCACATTCAATATTATAATTCTCTACATTTCAAAAAAGAAACTGAAAAAGGATCAAAGTATATCCTAGCCAATGTGAAAGCTTATTAAGCTTGTATCTTTTCTGTTTTTCAAGCAGACTGGTTAACTTGTGACTTTCTGAAGACTAATAGAGAAAATTCATTAACTGATTGCTTCTCTTTTAAATATTCTTCATTTTGGGCATCAGGAACACCCAACTCTTTAAAATATGATGTCAAAAATCTTTTATACACCATTAATTAAGTTTAATTTTTCATAATCTAAAGAATTAAATCTACCTCTGACTGAGTTAAACATACCTCTGTCTGATTGAGGCTGGAGTTTGGAACTCGGGGTGCATGATGACTAAGAGCAGAGAGGCAGACAAGAATAAGATGCAGTGCTCCAATTTCCAATGCCATTCGCCTTAGAAGCACACCATCATCAGTTGTCAAAGGTGTAGTGCTAAACAAACTACGAAGCACATGGAAAGGAAGGGTTGGAAGCACATTGGCTGACGGAGATTGCAAAATATGACCTACACAGAAAAGAGAGCAATAAGGAGCTATAAAGAAAGTTGCAAATTAATGACAACATAAAATTGTAACACTATATTTATTATAAAATAGTCTAAATAACACAGAATTGTAAGACCTTAAAATTTAATCGCTATTGCCAGCAGTGGTGGCACACAGCTGTAATTCCAACATTCAGAGGGCTGAGGAAGAGCGCCATGTGTTTGAGGCCAGCCTGAACTATAGAGCGAGACCCTGTCTCAACAAACAAACAACAACAACAACAAAATTCAGAAAGGAACATTATGTTTAATAAGTGAAATTAAGCTACCACCAATGGACTAAAAGCTTAACTGGAAATAAATGATAAGTAACAGGTAATTCTCCAGATAACTTTATTCCACCTATTATGTGTTGATAAATTTAATCAATCACATTAAACACTTACTTCCTTCTCCGTCATCTGTCACACCCAATACCAATCGAAGAAGGCACTGGGCATGTTTTCTCTCTTTCAGTAGCACTTCAGCATAGCCCGGAAGACGAAGAAATAATCCGAAAGCAGCCAGAGAGTGTGCAGGTATAGGGGACGTGGTCTGCACTGCCGACTTGATGGGGGGAGGCTCAGCCGCAATGGTCTCGGGCGCTTCATAAACCAACTCCCCCGACTGCTCAATGGTCACCCACTCAAACTGATCACTATCCTTGGGCTTTTCCTGAGTAGTAGATGTTACCACTGGCGCACTCACCTACAGAGAAAAATTGTTCGACTATTTGTATTTTGTCCCAACAAATTAAAGACCTGATTTCAGGTCTTTAAAATATACCTTTTAAATATACCTTTAAAATATAAGACTCTAAAGACTTTAAAAAACAAAAAAAGTCAGACATGGCAGTGGATGCCTATACTCCTAGCATTTAGGAGACTGAGGCAGGAGGCCTGTGTGGGATACATAGTGGGTTCAAAGCCAGGCTGACCTACATAATGAGACTGTCTTAAAAAACTAAAAACTCACAGAACCTTGTTTTGAAATCACACTTCCAAAGCCAGGTATAATGGAGCACATCTGTAACCCCAGTACTCAAGCTGAGGAAGCTGAGGCAGGAGGCCAGCATGAACTACAAAGTGACACGTCATCTAAAAAAAATTTCTTTTTTAAATCAAGTTTCCAAAGATATCTTAAATATGGTAGTACCTACCAAATGTCTTCATGTTATAGTTACATTTTCCCTTTTGGAGTTCACTGAGTATCTGCAGGCAGATTCTTTAAAGTTATGTAAATATCTTATTTCTCACCAAACTTTAATCCATTTATATTAACATTTTAAAAATTATTTATTTTAAAGATAATAATACCCAACAAAACAAAATAGAGTAAAGCCAATCAAAACAAAGCAGTGAAAGTGGTACAGAAGCAGGATAATAGGAAATCAATAATAGCTACCATAGTATATCTTGTTATCTTTACAATACTGTCCATTCCATCAGACACAGTAAAATCAAATAAAACAAAACAGACTAAAACTAATCAAAACACTGAATAAAGTGAAACAATAAACTGGAACAAACAAAACAGTGAGAATAACACTGGATTTCAAGACAAAGACAGAAGGAAATCCCCTGTATTGCATATGTTACCCTCCTAATGGATGCTGAGACTACCAGCCCCAGACCTCCAAAATTAGTTAAACAATACAAGCATTCAGTTGTTTTGTACTTCAGTTGCTATGAACTCAGCCTGTCCTCTGAACCAGCCGGTTTGGGGGAAGAGAGATTGCTCCTTGATTCTTGGCTCATGGGACAGGGATCTGGCTTTTCTCTTCCGGGGCCCTACATGGCTTGTGTGGCTTACGAGAAGGGCAAATTGGCTTCTTTTTGAATTTCACGTGCTCCAGACCCAGCATGGCATCTTATATTAGCATTTTTATAAAGACTTTCATAAACTATTACAACATTTTACTAAAGTAGAACTTCCTAATTTCATCATTGCTTCTGTATTTATTAGTTGGTACTGAGTTAGGAAAAGACCTTCTTCTCCACCTAGTACATCTACACCAATTTTTATTAGTATGGACTCTTAATTTTATTCTATAGTTCATTTGTATTACTTTTAGAATCAAATTTGGTCACCAGAATCACCTAAGAAGGTTCTAAAATTTCTTTAACATTCTGTTGGCATTTCTTTGCTTTCTATCACAATACGCAATTTTACACACATCTTATACGTTTCCTGCCATAGTTCCAGCAACTCTCCATGGAGTGCCAAATTCTTTTAGTAGAGAATAAATACTGAGAGGGTCTGCTTCCAGATGGTATTAGCAATACATTCAGACAGTATATATGTGTGTGAATTCATACATAGACATATCTAGTATGTACTACTCAGAAACATCAAGGCCGTAAACATAAACGACAACAAATGTAGTTTCATTACATATTAAAAGAGACTACCAAGACAACATAGTGAGATATACGTTTCTAAACTAGACACTGAGTGTCCACACACTGAAACCACACACGATAAAGAAGTTTTTCATTCTGAGCTAGACATGGTGGGGTGTACCTGTAATCCTAGCACTCAGGAGGCTGAAGCAGAGGTTTGCTACAAGTAAAAAGCCAGCCAGTTTTGGCCTCAAAAAAAAAAAAAAAAAAAAAAAAAAAAAAAAAAAATTCAGTAAAATAACTGACCAAATTAAAATAAGATTTGCAGTTTTAGTCAGGCAGGCATGGTGGTACATACCTGTAAACCCAGTGCTGGCAAGGCTGAGGCAAGGAATATCACCATGAATTCAAGGACAGCCTGAACTGCATAGTGAGACCCTGTCTCAATCAATGGTATTGTCTCAATATAAACTTCCTGATTTTGATAATTATACTACAGCACATTAGAGAAATAGCACATTAAGAGAAAGCCTTTGTATTTAGGAGTAAATATGCACCATGTCATAATGTGATTTTAAATAATTTGAAGAAATATTATAATTCTAAGCATGGTTCCCAAAGAAACCTTAAATTATTTAAACATCTATTTCACTTGCATGGCCATAAACAAGACTAATCACAAGTTCCCTACTCAAAGATATAATTTAATGAACAAAAGGAAAACAGTAAAGTTGTCTCATCATTCACTTAGAAATGACCTCACAGAGGAAGAAGGGCGCAAACAGATACGAAAGACATTCTTAAACTGACCTACAGTTATCCTAAACATACAAAGATACTAATACAATAATTCCTACTTTGATATCAGCCTAACCTGACTATTGAGGTAAGAATGATAGAACATAAAACAGTCCCAGTATAAGTACACTGGAACTTAGGGCCTTTTTGCTTTGGAGTTCAGCCCATTCTGATATTGTTTCTCAGGGATATTTTTCTTTTTCCTCTTTTTGGAAACAGTATCTCACTATTAGTTCAGGCTGGTCTTGCTCTCACTATGTAGCCCTGACTGGCTTCAAACTCAGTGACCTTCCTGCTTTAGCCTCCCAAATGCTGGGAGTACAGGCAAACTCCACTATGTATGCCTTTCAGGTGAATTTTAAAGCATGTTCACATTCAGAAGTTTATACTGCACAAAAAAATAGGTTAGCACTACAGTACCTCTAAAATGTGAAGGTATAGTAACAGAGACAGAACTTTACCTTCATGTCATTATTCAATTTTCTTAAAAGATCATTTCTAGGGGATGGGGATTTAGCTCAGCGGCATAAGTGCCTGTCTTGCAAGCAGGCAGTCGTGAGTTCGATCCCCGGTACCGATAAAAAGGAAAAAATACCAAAAAAAAAAAAAAAAAAGAAAGATCATTTCTAAAATGATGACATGAAACAAAAATATTGGAAAAACCAAAAAGTTCTTCGTTTATTACATATATGATCTTTAACAAGCAAATGTTAAAGACTTTCAACCTGAAGAAAATCACAGCAAAGTGAAACCATTACTCATTTCCCACTCACTAGTATACTGACAAAAACCCATATATATATATATATATATCCCAAATAAGTGGAAACAATCAAAATGCTAATCCACATTGTAAGTACAAACTATATTATCATTCAGTTATAAAACAGTACATTAGGGTAGTACAAATGAGACTACTACAGGTTTAGGCAGAAATAAATTAATTTCGGTTCATATTCAGGAAAAGAACCAAACTGTAGACTCTAATAGCCTCAAACTTGTGATCCTCTTGCCTCACCCTCTCAGTCCTGGGATTACAAGTACACACACCACCATACCTGGCTACATTTGCTTATTTTATTTTAATTTATTTATTTATTTTGGTGCCAGGAATCAACTCCAGGACACTGTGCTTCCAAGGCAGGTGCTAATATTTAATTTTTAAAACTATGCATTTACATATATGTGGTAAAAACTTGTATTTTACATTTTCTAAAGATCAAAATTGAAAAGGTATTTTAAAATGCTTTTTAGATATGCCAATATGATGGTACGTGTCATAAATCCATGGCATGTTGAGACTAAGGCAGGAGGATCACAAATTCAAGGTTATTCTGGGAAATTTAGAAGGACCTTGTCTTAAATTTAAAATGGCTGCAGATATACTTCAGAAGCAAAGCACTCGTCCGGCCGATGTGAGGTTCTAGATTTACCATCCAGCCCTGGAAAAACAGAAACAGCAACAGATCCCTTCCCCCATAATTAGGACATGGTGGTACATGCCTACAATCCTACCACTTGGGAGGCTGAAGTAGGAGGGTCACCAAGAGTTTGAGTCCAGTAAAGCCAGCCTGATCAACATAGTGAGACGCTGTCTTAAAAAAAACACCAATAACCAAAAAAACCTATCCAAATATTTACATTTCTGACATAACTGGATAAAACATTTCAATTTCCCAAAGACAAGACTATTTAAGAACCTTTTCACATTGAATAACGTTTGGAAAACACATAGAAGAGATTATTCTGTTGTCAATGTACATGATGTGATTTATATGGAAAGCTTTAGGAATTAAGATATTCCAGTCATCTGACATACATTCTATTTAAATCAACTACTCGCATGTATTACAGCAAACATCTTACAATTCTTATGACACAAAAGGCTTTTTGCTCAAGTGATCAAATGCTGCAATTTAATTACTCCCCATCCCCCCCAAAACAGGAAGCATTATTTTGAACTAAGGGGGGGGGTAATATTTTTTCAAAAGCACTCAGAATTAAAAGTTATAATAAAATATAATTCTATATGTGGTTTAGGTAACAAATCGTTTCCAAGAAATTTCTTTTAATTTTTTTGGAAAGAGGGTTTTGCTAAATTGGTGACCTTGAACTGAACTCACTATGTAGCGCAGGCTGACCTGAAACTGTGCTGTGTCAGGTACACAGAGAAGTGTTGGAAGTTTTTCCTTTTAAAGCTTCTATCATTAGTCTCAGTTATTGAAAAATAAATGTTAGAATCTGTAACTAAGTACACATTTCATAATTATTTTAGTTCTCTCAATTTCTGCTTCATGTTTTGAGTTTATACTTTGAGTTTATGTGATGAAATAACACACATGTACAGGATTATCATGACTTCTGAATCAATCCTCACATATTAATTCTGAGTCTATAATTTTTCCTGGAGGGTGTTTTGTTTTAGAAGTAATGGTGGACTATACTGGACTCATGGAGGCTTTTGTCCCTATTTATATGGCAATTCCTTTAGCACAGGAATGTAGTCTTTACTTTTAATGGATGGCCCCAGACAGGACTACAACTAGAAATTTTATTACCTTTGTGAAA